CATCAAAAAGTTAAAAAAATAAATTAGCATTAAAAAAACGAACTGTGATTTTTTAAAAATATATAATTTTACACTTAACTTACAAGTAAATACCTAATGTTTGTTCCTTTAAACTTCTCTTTACCTTTACCGCCAGCCATATTAAATTTTGATTATAAACCATTAACAACCTGCTGGTTAACAACCTGCATTATACATTGTTATTATTATTATAGTTACATTGAAAATTGATAAACATGTCTTTTACAAAATACAAATTATTCTCAATGAAAAATTGCACAAACCGCAAAGGTTTCTTACCAAACCGTAATGCAAGTAAGAAAAAGAATTCATACAGGGGAAGAGTTTGGTCCAAGGAGACCACCTTCTAAACGCAAGAAAACACCAAAACCGGACAGTATAATCAGAAATATCTGCCTGGAAAACAGAAAAAAAGCCACTAAGCTTATCCATGAAGCTGCAATTGTTGTGTCAGACCAGACCATTTGTAGAAGGCTAAAAGAAGAGGGATTGATGCCCAGCCAAAAAGGTCAAAAATTGACAAAAAAATTTCAAAATAATGTCAAAAATCTTATATTTATGCAAGATGGTGCAACTTGCCACACAATAAAAACTGTTATGGCTTAGTTGATGTATTGCTATAGCCAGACAACTCGCATGATCTTAACCCCATAGAAAATATTTGGGAAATAGTAAAGCAAGAGATCGGAAAAAAAAAATCTTACTAATAAGCAAGATCTTATGGAAGAGATTATCAAGATCTAGCATAATAACCTAGAGTTGACAGAAACTATAAAAAATAAATTGCAAGCATGCCACAATGCAATGAAGCAGTTATTGCAAATAAAAGTGTTATTGCAAAATATTTATACTTTATATATACAGTCGTGTGACAATTTATTATGGCCACCTATGAGTTTTGATCATTTTGAAATTTAATCTCATTTTTTTCATATGAAGAGTAAAAATTCATTATTGAAAGTTAATGTTCTGTTTAAAATAAAGTTTTAACTTATAAAATCAATGCTTTTTTTTTGCTACTGGCAACACTGTCACTTTTGACAGCCATTTTGTATGATGTCATCTTAATTATAATCTTTTTGCTGTACACTTGTTAAGTTTTTTTACCAGAGTTTTGAATTCTTTTATTAGGTTATCGTCATATTACTTATTTAAATCAGTAAAAATTTCTTGAATATTTCTTTTTATTTTAAATTAAAAATAGTTGTATTTACTTTGATATTTTTAAAGTTATGAGTACCAAAGCAAATTCTTAACTGTAGTACTGATATGTGATATCTTATATTAGTTATGAGGGAAAAAAAAACTTGTAACAAAAAATTGCTGAAATCAGGGCACTTTTAATAAATACTGATCATTCTCAATGAAAAATAGCCAGAAAATATGGTATTTCGCGGGTATCTGTACAAAATATACACAAAAAAATGCTAATATGGAGAACTTGATGCCAAAGAGGGTTGGTAAATGTAGAAAGAAGAGAATCCTAACACCATGCAGGAAATGAATACTTACCAAGATTGTTCTAGAAAATAGACGGGCCACCAACAACGAAATAACTAATAAGCTGGGCCAATCTGGAGTCAAAATGTTGAAGAGAACGGTCCAACATTGCCTACACAATCTTGGTTACATTTCACAACGTCCAGCTAAGAAGCCTAAACTGACACCAAAAATTGTACAAAAAAAGCTTGAGTGGACAAAAAAGTATAGGAATTTAACATATGATTGTTAATTAATAAAATTAATTTAGATGAATTTAAAATATCCACTTTCTTACACCAAACTTTAAATATTTATTTAATATTCACTTAACAATCCGTGTATAATATTTTAAGGTATGCTTTAGCAACGAGAGTACTTTTAAGTTTTAAAAAGAAAAAAAGGGAAAAAATACTTATTGGACTGCATCCTGCAAACTGTTAAACACCCCACCAATAGTTTAGTCCAGGTGAAAAAAAAGCCTTCATGCAGGACAGGGCATGACCATGTCCCACAGCTAAATCAGTTAAAAAACATCTATCAGAACAAAATATTCCATTACTTGATTGGCCAGGAAACTCTTCTGACCTAAATCCTATAGAAAATGTTTGGGCGCTCCTAAAGAAGCAAATATCTGAAAAAATTATTACAAATATAGTGTATTTAATAGAAAGAATTATTCAACATTGGAACTATAATAAAGAATTGAAGGAAATGGCTCAAAAATGCATTAAAAGTATGCCAAAAAGGGTTCCTGCAATTATAGAGGCAAAGGAGGAATCACCAAATATTGATCTTGAATATATTTGCAGTAATATTTGAATAATAAAATTTATTTATTTTGAATAACAAAATTTATTTAATAATATTTTAATAATAAAAATAAACAATATGTTAAGTGTTTTTATTTGTCAAAAAAATACCCATTTCTTAAATAAAAGTTACTTTGACTACATAAATCACAAAAAAATACTAAAATAATAGACTTTAAAACTTAATTATTTTAAAAAATTGTGGGTGGCCATAATAAATTGTCACACGACTGTATTTATATATATATATATATATATATATATATATATATATATATATATATATATATATATATATATATATATATATATATATATATATATATATATATATATATATATATATATAAATATATATATATATATATATATATATATATATATATATATATATATATATATATATATATATATATATATATATATATATATATATATATATATATATATATATATATATATATATATAATATATTCATATAAGCACATGTATGTATATATACATACATATATATGTATGCTTATTTATGTACATATATATGTATGTATATATAGAGTAAAAAAAAAGGTTAAGTATGGGTTACAAATCAACCTTTGTACTTTAAGGTTGTTCTTTAGCTCAAGGAAATACAAAAGTAAGAGAAAACAGTTACAAAAAAAATTATAATCAGACATAAAAAAAAAAGATTCATTTTATGTCTGATTAGAATTCGTCAAACTTTTAAAAATATATGCTACACAGATTTTTAACACAAGTTAAAAACAAACTATAAAAAAGATTCAAAAGATTTTTTATTTAAAACTACTTTTAACAAACCTTTGCATCACATGTATTTGTATATGTCTTGAAGGTTTTACCTCCAAATTTAGAAAGTTTGTTAACCTAAAGGTTTAAGAAAATAATTACACCACATTATATAATAAATTCTTAATCAAAAAACAATAAAAAAAACTGCAAAAAGTCATGGTTTGAAACAACCTATCACTTCTGACTTCACCCAAGAATCATTTAAACTGTTATCATAATCATTAAATTACTACTGAAAGTTCATCCATAGAATTTCAGAACTATTTGTCATGATATTACGTTAATTACTGGAAAGAGTTTTTACTAACATCTCTTTCTAACAATAACGATATATCAGAAAGACAAAAGAACAAAACATTAATTAATTTCTAAAAGTGTTGAAACACAAGAACAAAAAATTTAAAAAATAAAACATTATTCATAAATTAAATATTAGTTGTGTTAAAATGTATTAATTTAGCAACCAAAGAAATGTGTAAATCACTGAAGCTTAGAAAAAAATGTTCAGAATCTTTTCTTCCTAAATCAACTTGCAGACAGACAATTAATACTTTGAGCTACAGTATGTGAAGTATGCATAAAAAATATTTTCTGTTTTTTTTTTTGCGTTACAGGAGTAGGTATTTGCTTACTATTCTGTTGGTTATTATGTTTTCTCTTGCATAAGCATGGTAGTGGCTCCTATAATAATTAATATCAAAATATAACTAATAATACTTGAATTAAGTATTTTTTGAAATAGTTACTGTTTTCTGAACCTGATTTTATCTGAGTATCACTAATAGAGGCAAATTCAAATTTATTACATAACTCATGATCTAAGAATATTCATTCAATTTAAAAATGTTTTAAATACATTATATAATAAAGAATATATAATAAAGAATATATCTAAACACTAAAAACAACATAAGCAGAATGAAAGCATGTTAAAAAAACAAGGAAAAAAAGTAATGACTTAAGGTTTATATAAAAAAAAAATACATTATCTCCATGACATTAAATTTTGAGCAGCGTAAATCTGTTTTAGTTAGATGCGGTTTATGCATTTCATTGAAACAATTTATTACATTTAAAGATGACGAGCAGCACAAAAAATTATCAATCGAATTTTCTCTCTTTATTTCTCTGTATTTTCTATCCAAACAGCTCGAATGAACATTTTGCATGCCCTACTATACTTTTTCAACTGGAAAAGTATAGCAGAAATTATAATAGAAAAAATACTTATATATTAAAAATTTGTTCATGTAAAATAGCTAACAGAAAAATACAACTTTAAACTGTACGTTATGATACATTATACAGTTGCTAAAATTTCCTAAATTTTTATGTTGATCTTTCTACCAATATTATGGACTAAAGAAGCATTTACAAATTCTTTTTTATACAACTTTACATGAAAAATCTTTAAAAATTTAATAAAAATTTTTTAATATAAAAAATATTTAAACTCTTTAAATCACATGGATTGGTAAAAAAGCTTGATAAATCATTATTTTGTAAAACATCATCCATTATATTTATTTATATTATGTATGTATATATACATATATAGTGTATGTATATATTATATATGCATGTTATATATATATATATATATATATATATATATATATATATATATATATATATATATATATATATATATATATATATATATATATATATAATATATATATATATATATATATATATATATATATATATATATATATATATATATATATATATATATATATATATATATATATATATATATATATATATGTATTATATAAATAAGAAAAACATATATAATATATGTTTTATATTTATATAATATATCAAGTAGTTTCTACTTGTAATCCACACTCATGAAATAATACGGTCATAAAGAAATATCCATTAAATATTTACCTAACTAACTGCAACACAAGTTAAGCCATGTATTATTGTTAAATTGTCAAATTCAAAACCTTATAAAAAGGCAACAGATGACCTAATTTATTAGCATGAGTGACTTTACTTGTTTTTATTGATAATAATAATAATAATAACTAATAAGTAACTTGTTAAGTCTTTACTTGATATTTGTTATGTTGATAAAAAAAATTTAAGTCACGCATGCGTATTTTAGTTATCATATTGCAATTACGAACGATCGAACTCGTAATATAGACGTTGAATTAACGTGGAATCAATGACGATTTTATTTGATAGTTTTAAACAAATTTTTTAACGTTGATACAACGTTGATTTTTGGTTATACGACGTCGCGACTAAAAATCAACTGTAAATCAACGTCGAAATAACGTCGTGTGCCCACTGGGTATATATATATATATATATATATATATATATATATATATATATATATATATATATATATATATATATATATATATATATATATATATATATATATATATATATATATATATATATATATATATATATATATATATATATATATATATATATATATATATATATATATATATATATATATATATATATATATATATATATATATATATATATATATATATATATATATATTGATACATACACCACAAACGAAGTGACCGTTATCAATATCTTTCCTGAAATTTATTGTTAAAGTTATTAATGCGCATCAAGTAGAATATTTTGGTGGAAAATCAAATTAAAAATCATTTAAACATTAAAATGAGCCTGAAAAAGAATGCACTCAAGAAAAAAAAAGGTTTTTAAAAGCTCACTAATGTTAGTTAAAAGAGAAATAAGTGCATGAAAGTTTAGAGCCGTTTTTAGATATTAAAAAAACGCCAAATACTTTAAAAAAACAAGGAAATTTGCCATTTATAAACGAGATATTAATTAGTCTAGAAAAAATATTAGAAAGTTCATGCTTAAAACTATAAGAAAGTTTGTAGGGTTGCTGTTTGGACCTACTGATATTTTGGGATTTAATTTAGATATAAGAGATGATATTTTAGGAGAATTGTTGGAGGTAATAATAAAGTGTGCAAATTTGGATATTTAAAGTATTTTCGATGGTATTCATTCCAATATTATTTCGTCTTGTGTTAGTAAGACTAATGATTATTTAATTTGAGTTTATGAACAATATTTGGAAAAAAAGTGTTAAATTATTCAAAGATTAAAGTCGAATCTGTTATATAAATTTTATTTTTTTGCAAACAGTTAGGTAATAATTTGTTTAAACTTTTGATATTTATTAGAATGTTAATGCCTATCTTGAGAAGGTTTTTTACATTTTCTGAGAATTTTTTTTTAATACGGGATTTTTACCAAAGTTTAATTAATGTGATTATCATATACTTATATCTCTTAAAAATACTTTCGAACATGTTTAACTTTTGGAAAATTTTCAACAGCATTATTAACATTTCGAACATGTTTACTTTTGGAAAATCTTCAACAGCATTATTAACAAGGGTAGACCTAACATTCCATCTCTCATTTATGGGACTGATCTTATTACCTCTCCCAAGGATAAGGCAGAACTATTTGCAAGGAACTTTTCTTCTAATTCCACTCTTGAATCTTATGGACATTCTCCTCCTTCCATTTCAGTCAAACAGGTTGACCAATTGTTAGACATTAAAATTACTCCGGCTTCTGTTGCTAAAATCATATTTCAATTAAACTCGTCTACAGCTTGTGGTCCAGACAACATTTCTGTCACAGTCTTGCAGAATTGTTCTCTAGAACTTTCTTCAATTATCTCTAAACTATTTAAAAAATGTTTGACTAAGTCTTGTTTTCCTGCTTGTTGGAAAACAACTTCTGTGGTTCCAATATTCAAAAACTCTGAAGAAAATTCTGATCCCTACAATTATCGTCCGATCAGCGTTCTTTCTGTTATTAGCAAAGTCTTTGAGTCTTTGATCAACAAATTCCTTACATCTCATCTTGAGTCAAATAAACTACTGTCAACAAATTCCTTACATCTCATATTGAGTCAAATAAATTACAGTCATACAATCAATACGGTTTTCGATCCTCTCGCTCTACGGCTGACTTGCTAACTTCTGTAACTGAAAGATTTTATCGTGAATTAGATGGAGGCAGTAAGGCTAGGGCTATTGCTCTCGACATATCTAAAATTTTCGACAAAGTTTGGCATGCTGGTCTTCTCCATAAGTTTGCTTCATATGGTGTTTCTGGGAAAATTTTTGAGATTTTCAAATCATTTCTTTTTAAACGGTTTATTAAAGTCATCCTTAAAGACCAACACTCTTCTTTATTTCCAGTAACTTCTGGGATTCCCCAAGGTTCCATCCTGGGCTCTATTTTGTTTCTTATCTACATAAACGATCTTTCTGACAAACTTTTATCTAAAGTAGCTCTTTTTGCTGATGACTCAACTTTATACTCCTGTCTTGACAAAAAGTCATCTACTTTTGATCGCCTAGAACAAGCAGCTGATCTTGAATCCGATCTCACTTCAGTAATAGATTGGGGTTCACAGTGGCTTGTGAATTTCAACTCTAACAAAACCCAGTTGTTTACTGCAAACAACAACCGTAATATGGTCAACATTTCTATATTAATAAATTGCAATCCTCCAACTGAGTCCTCCTCTTTACGTCTTCTTGGATTATTGCTTACTACTGACCTTTCATGGAAACCATTTATACAATCAATTGCTAAATTAGCTTCTGCTAAGGTTGCTTCTCTTTATCGTGATCGCCATTTCCTTACTTCTGATTCCATTCTCTAACTCTGCAAATCTCTTATTCGTCCCTGTATGGAATACTGTTGTCATATTTGGGATGGTTCTTCCAATGATTCACTTTCTCATCTTGACAATGTCCAAAAACGCTTTGTAAATGTTGTTGGACCTGGACTCTGATAAGCTTGAGCCTCTTTCCCATCGTCGTAAAGTTGCATCTCTTTCTCTTTTCTACAAACACTATCACGGTCTTTGCTCAAAGGAGTTATCATCTCTAGTTCCATCAACTAAAATTCATTCTCGTTTTACTTGTCATTTAGCTAAGTCTCATTCGTTTACTGTATCTGTCACTGTATGCTCTAAAAACTTTTATTCATCTAGTTTTTTCCCCCGCACTTCAATCCTTTAGAACTCTCTCCCATCTTCATGTTTTCCTGACTCATACAACCTTCAACTTTTTAAGTTTTCTGTCAACTGTTTCCTTGGTCTATAACTCTGTTCTTTTTTTTCCTAGTAACTCCGAACTTAATAGTGGTTGCTTGCATCCTTATTGGAAGTGAATGAAAATAAAAAAATAAAAAAAATGAGTACTATAAATATTACCTACTGATTAAAAATCATTTATACTGTAAAATATTATTTGTTAAAAGTTGTTTAACTATTTTTTTTGTAATCTAGTTAGTTGTTAAAAATATTTATCATCAGCAGATTTAATAAGAGGTATAACAAAGTTAATTAAAGAATGTAATTAAGTATATAATAATATATAAAATAATCTAATAAAGTACAAAAATATAAACGTCAATTGTTTACATTAAAACTATTAATTTTTTAAAATTGTTTTAATGTAAAATAACGAGCATTTCTTATTAAACTCTTTTTATATATGTGTAGATTTTTCATGGGCAATAGTTTTATATGTTTTCATTAAACGGATAAAACATTTTTTATTTCATTTAATGTTTTTTTAACTTAATCGTGTGTATTTTTATATCAATATAAATAATTGGAATTAAATTGGAATTGCAAAAAATATTTTAAAATTACAAAATAACAAAAAAGAACTTTGGATAAAGAAATCTAGCCAATTTTGAAATGTCAACAAAAAATTTTTATTTTTGATTTAATATTTTTTTGTACTACTTTTAATCCAATAACAATGATAACCAATACTTAGTACTATTACAATCAAACAAAAACACGGTTGCTTCCGTGTGCAAAAAAAAAGTTTAAAACTTGATTAGTAGTTTGTTAGTTATTTTTATTTAATGTAATTTATATATATATATATATATATATATATATATATATATATATATATATATATATATATATATATATATATATATATATATATATATATATATATATATATATATATATATATATATATATATATATATATATATATATATATATATATGTAATTGAAATTGTACATTTACTATTATTTGGTAGAAATGAGTTCTATAAATGTGGCCCTCGGTATGTCA